AAATGAATAATTGAGCAAAGGAAGCACAAATATATCAATGCACTCAACTAAATAGAGAATTCAGTAAAGGTTCCTCAAGCGTGGATCAGAAGCTATGAGAAGTAAACATGAAAGACAGTGCCTCCATATGCAGCTCTCCCATTTTTTGCAAAGACAGGAAGAAGCTGGTCCCACTGCCAAGGAAGCAGTGAGGCAAGCACGGCTGTCGCTTAAAAGCTGGCACCTACCACAGCAGCGAAACACTGGCCTCACCAGGCATGCGCGCCGGCATCTTCCTCGTGGCGTTACGCAGCCTGGCCAGCTGAGCTTTCTCAAGGTTACAAATGGTTGTGGTAAGTTGCCCTAAAAATCTGATAAATGCTTAAAAGGGCATCTTTTTCAGAAGATGTAGCTAAGTGTTTTCTGGAGGTCAGAACCCTAAAAAGTGTCTAAATTTAGGTACTTCTAACCTAAAGCATTTAGTGCCAGAAATACATTTAGGAAAGAAAGTCTCGTCTATCCGGTCACTAAACAACCAACAAAATCAAATTCAGGTATGACAAAGAAGAACAAATCGTTAAAAGGAATTACTGTAGGAAAAGTGATGTTATGTGTATTTTAACAATCAAAAAGCACTAGACGCGCGGCTAGGAATAAACTTGGGTCTCTCAGCTTTGCATTACTCCAACGCTTGTCACGTCCACTCTGCTTCAGCTGCGCGTTGAGCTATCAAGCAAAGCCAGGCAGAGCTAGGTGTGGGGAGCCTACCGCTTACCAGCGAGCGGCCAGTTACAGAGAACGAAGAGCAGGTTCTGTTGAGAGAGGAAAAAAAAAACATCCAACTGGGCTAACACAGAAATCCAGAAATACTGATTTGATAGAAAAAATCCTGATCTCACAACCAAGATGCGCAGCAAACAAAGCTGCGTGACACAAAATGGCAAAGAGATCAAAGATGGATGCAGAGAGGGACCTTGATACAACGTACTAACTACAGTCTGTGCATCAACGGATTGCATACGTTTCACAAAAGCGGTCCGTATCACTGCGGCTCCCAAGTCCTGTCTCACACACCGTTAAGTGGCACATTTTGACAAGACAATATATTTCACATATGCTCCCTTCTGGTGACCCCATTGGTAAAACAGTCTGCTGACATCAATGAGGATTTAACATGATTCAGATCAACTTTTCATCAGCTTGAAAATGTCAGAACCTTTTCACAGGGAACCTCACTTTTATCACCTTTCCTTCCTCATCCTCACTGCCTCCGGATGGCTGTAGCAAGCTCTGATGGAAGAGGCAGCTATGTGCTAATACAGAACAGAGGTTAAGTACATATATGAGATGGAAAATATAAATCATATATTCATATATATGAGGTAATGTAAAGGACATTCTTTTAACCCATGTCAAGAAGCTGTATCAATGGCGTCAATTAAATACTTCATGACTGTTATTCTTTGCAGGTCTATCGCCATATATGCATAAAACACAACCGCAAATAAATCCAGTTCATTTAACATTTCATCTAAAACGTTATTCTTCCTATTTTCACAGAGATATGTTCCTTTTTAAGGACACCTCTCATCAAGCGACGGCACAACGCTCATTTGCTTCCTGACGGCACGATCATCCTGCAGCCAACTGCAACTGGACTATGGCTATTGACTCCTGGGGGATTCAACGCTGCCTTTCTCGGTCAAGCAGGGCACTCTGAAATGACAGTTCTCTTGTTCTAGAAGTGTGAGAATGACTTTGAACAGAAAATGGAGCAAAGAGAAACTGAAGCTCAAGTTAATCCTAATCCCAAGCAAGCTTTTCTCGCTGTTTTTTAATACTTACTACAAGAAGAAAAAACAGTTTCAGGTCTGGACACTGCCAGCAAACTACAGGGAGTCCAAAGGCTACAGCTCTAGTTGGGAACTTCAAAAAATACGTCAAAAGCATTAGCACTTTAGAGGGAGATGAATGGCTATGTTTGTATTCAAGCACAAGTGCTAAAGAAAGCACTTAATAATGAGTGGCATCAAGAGCCGGTCTCAGTTTTTCCTTAGTTGTATAGTATGCAACCAAAAGTTTTGGAAGTGCTTTCTTAGCTTCACTATTTCTTTGCCACCAGGAAACCAAGTCAGGCTTTTAGGTCCACTGGATATAGAATATCTTGTTTAAGGCTCAATTTTTAATTCTCTGGAGAAAATGACTTTCCCTATTATTTTGTGCTATATAGGTATTATGAACTTTTACTTTAGGAACGTAAAGCCAAGTTGGTTACTGAAAAGAACAGCCTTGCAGAGAGACAGCAGTTTACCAGATGATCACAACGACCCTTTGCATGATTAATTTGCATGATTTCATGAGACAGCCTTTGCATAAATTAAGAAGAACAAGAATAAGTATTTTCCTACTGTAGACATAAGCATCCTTCAAAAGGTCTCTCCCTCCCCCAAACTCGTTTGCCCAAAACCGCTGCACAGCAACAAAGACTTACTCAAGTTTGCAACTAAATCATTAACCAGAAAGCACTCAGTGGGAAAGTAATTCTTGCCTAATATAAGAGGTTTCACAGTCATCACGCCCGCAGCCTGCCATTTGTTCATTAATTTTCCAGTGACGGGTAACGAGCACAGACAGTATGCCTTTGTGCTCCCATGCGGCACTTGGGGACCACAACGCCGAGCCCCCGACCAGCGGGTGCGCTTCTCGCCACGGCACTTCGGGTACGGCGACAGAAACTCTGCGGCGACCTCCAGCCAACGCAAGCTGTCACGTAAGCGGTTAGCAAACCAAGTTCATTTCACAGCAGCCTCTTCTAAACACTCGCTACATACAGAGCTGCAGAGCCCCTGCGCCCTCACATCTCAGCCCCTTCCAACTGCCCTTCTTCTATATTTATCAAAGTCGCAGCCCTCAGCAGATGCAGAAACGCACGGGGCGCCGGTCAGGTGCCCGCATGCTTCGCAGCAGATTACAGAAAAGCAGCCCCTCCGAAAAAGCACAACGGTACCCAAGTACTCCAATTTAATCAGCTGACGTCACTCAGGGCTGACTCTCGCTCACGGTACGTAAGGAAGCAATCTCCTTTGTAATGAATTCATGTGGCAAATGGGTTTGCCCTTTCTGTACGCTAATGATAATAAATTCCATCCAAATTATTTCAGCCACTGAACAGCCAGAATACTGTGTTACTCTTCGTACGTGAGGACAAAACAGCAACTACACTAAAGGGAAAAAGCGTGGTAGGCCACTCGCACTAAGTCCTTTTTTCTCTTTAGCCGTATTCAGACTCAATCAACAATTTTCTGGCAGGTTATATATAACGCTAGCTCGGCAGGAAAGTATTTAGAAACAAATGACTCCTTTCTAAGGTAGTACTGAAGAAATATGCAAAGGGAGGTACCTCTAAAGGTTTTGGGGTTTTTTTGTGTGCCTGCTTGGTAATTCTACCTCTACACAGCCAAGTGTAGAAGTGTAGAATGACAGTACAGCAAAATAATTAGCTCACTAAACGCCAGTTGTCAGCACAAACGAACAACAATCTATCTTAAAGATACACAGGAATACCAAGACAGGACAGGATTCAAGGAAATATCTGAAAAAGTACAACAGCATTTAAAGAAAATCCCCAAGTAATTTGTTTATGACGTTTATGACGTTATTTGTTTGACCTTTATGTCAAGTCATATTTAGGCATGCAAATCATTTTAACACAAGACTTCAGCATCTAGGAACTGAAGTTACACTCTCAAGTCACTTTCAAGGCCTAAGTTTCTAACACATGGTTGATTTTGGTCAGCTAAGGTACAATTTTGTCAGTCTGCTCATATTAATGGAAATACCAGAATAGGTCAGGTGACTAATAGCCATGGCTAAATGCAGGGGAGAGCAGACATAACGCAAGAACGTAATGCAGCCCTCTATCCACATCTATTAGATTATTATGATAGCAATATATATAATAATAAATATATACATAATATATAATGTGATATTGTAATATTAAAATAAATAATGTTATAATATAATGTATATCGATATTACACAGCCACTTAGGTACAAGTAGAGTTTCTACTTCCACAGAAACGTGGTATCCCTTCTCTTAAGGATTTCTTTTAAGAGCAGAGAGTAAGAGAACAAGAAAGCAACATCCTCAGCAGTCTCTGCCCTGGACGGCGCAGCAGGAACCATCTCCTCCGAGCCTGAGCCTGCGCCTGCGCCTGCGCCCAGACGCACCACTGGTCACTAATGGCATACACTAACCGCTGTATAAAAGAGACACCGGGACGTGATCTAAAGCGTAAAGCAGTTAAATCCCCCAGGAATAAACTCCCATGGATTTCAAGAGGAGACAGCCACGTGAACTCGCTGCTGTAGATGGCAATTCTAAAGTGAACGTAGCTTATTCATCAATAAAGACAGCTCTTTCCACAGCAAAATTGCTGGGAGGAATCGTATCTTTTAAAGGCCTTTCATTAGGACTTAGGTGTTTTTAGTAAGGAAACGGTCACTAGTTGAGCTATACTTTTGTAAGCGTGATAATGACACCAGCTGAAGTTTTTGTCAAGGACAATATTGATTTTGGAGTCACTTCTTACAGCTTAATGACAATGATTTAAAATTTGAGTTAATCTTGCATGCCAGACATTTCTGTACAGGGTTTTTCCACTGGTTAGGAGCCGCACTAAGTTAAATTGTACCAATATTGATTTGCAGAGGTAGCCTACAGTTAACTACAATTAGTGTAGACATAATATTTGATTCTAGGTACCTTTGATTAAGGTGCATCGGTCAGAACTATTTAAGGACATGTTTTATTTGCTTAAACTTGCCCCATACTTGTAATAGTAATGCTTTTACATCACAGTGAAAGCACACATTGTAGCGGAAGCACGGAAAAAAAGCAATCCATATGAAAGCAATACCTGGCAAAGCGACGGAGGAGAAGGCAACAGTCCAGTTATACAGACATTAAGCCAAGTAACTTCTGCAGCCCTTTAGGCTCGCTGCCCTCAGCCCTTGCCATACGTGGGAGATGGGGGCACTCTGCAAAGCGCATGTGATTTAGGAAGAAAAACTGAGGGCTGATGCTAAACGCCAGCTGGCACGTGGCCAAGATGCAAGCCGGCGAGGGGGGAATTTGTGAATATTGCCCGTATCGACTCATCGTCAGATTGACGCTGTGTGTTTGGTTTGTTCATTTCTGGAAGAAGGTCAGTTCACTTCATCCAACCAAGAACGGATCAGGCTGTCAGTGTCGGTTTTCAGACTGTCAGAAAACAAAGCAATTTCTCATCATATGAAGACTAAAAGAGCTACTGCTGCCTCGAGACAAAATATTGGTAATGTTAATAATAACTTGGTTTACAAATCAGTTATGTTTGTATAACCACGTTTCTTTTCTAAATCTTATTTCTGTTTACCACAAATAATATTCACAGAAAACTATATAAATCCATCTTCTAGTCTGATCACCTTCATATCTTTTATTAACTTAGCGTTTTACCCAGAAAGTTTGGAAGGAGGATGAGAAAAAAATTGGACATCGGTTTCTTTTTCTTTAAAATAATTGTTCTGGTTTTGCCCCACTGACTTCATTAGAGTCTGAGCGTATTAGAGTGTTGTTCACATGAACTGGCCTCAGGACTTTTCCAAACTAAATGCCAATGATAAATTAATTCTTTAATCCCCTTTATGCCACAGGATGCAAATCTGTACATATAAATGAATCACTTTTCCAAACATCTCCTTATCTATGTTTTGCTATTAATTCTTACATTTTTAATCACTTTCCATTCTCTATCATTTACTTGCATTATTCTGTCAAAGAATTAATTTATAAAAGGATTTTAGTAGCTCAACCACTTTGAGAAATTTAATTTACCTTTTCATTTTACGGAGGGTACTATTCTTCCTCAAATAATTTCCTTTATTCGAAAAAACAGAACTGTAGCATGCCTATAATCAATCCTACCTCAGAAACAGCTAACTGGAAAGTTGCTTTACAAAAACAGTGAGTATTCTGCTTAGCAGAATGGAAAACATTATTCAAGTCTAGTAGTAACAAGTCAAGCAGGGCTTAAAAACAGAACAAATGATAAAGATTTAACAAAAACAGGCTGTAGTTTCGCAAGAGAAAATCTTATAATGCACTGTTTATCACATATTAAACATACTAATTAGTTTAAAAGGTATTTATCATATATTTATTATTTCAATAGTCTCTACTATTATATACTTGCATTACAGTGGGCAGGAGCCTCAAAGAACTGCATTATACTACACACGGTCGAAAACTGTAAAATTACTATTACAACTCAATGCACTAATGTATCCTTATTTATATATGTTCTTACAGTAAAGTGTTAAGATTGCACAGATTTTTCCACACCTGGAAAAAAATCACAAAGTAAACTGTACATTAAAAAAAAAAATCCTTTCGGTAACAACTTTCCATGTCCAAGGTTAGCCTGAAACTGATTTTGTTTCATCGACCTACATTGCTGGAAAGGACCTCAAGAGGTCACCTAGGCTCTTGCAACACCAGCGGCAGCTGGGTCACCGCTGGCAACATCTAAGAGCTGCCTGCTCTCCACGAGCAGCCGGAGCCGCAGTCCCCCCGGCTCCCCACCTTGGGCGTTGGGAAGGTTCACTCCATCGCCCACCTTCGGTCATGCTTGCCACAGTTTTGGCTTGCTGCTTCCTTCCCTTCCAATCCGCACTGGAACTTCCCCTTTCCACTTAGCTTTTCCACACCTGAGGATTGCTCCTCCCCACCACATTTCTCCCTTTTCTTGTTTTCAGAGTGAACGATCTCTCACAGCCTTGTTTTCCAAGGCAGCAGCTTTGGGCTCACTCCAATCAAGGGGGCTTTTCCCAGGGTGAAGATTAGGAAAAATACATTGGTTTGTTTTACTCGTATTACAAATCCTTAAGCCCTTTTCCTTGAAATGCTCTATCTCCCTTCGCCTCCAAACGCAGCACAGGATGCCACCTGCCGCAAGGCCAGGCCCCTTCCCATTTCTCATGGAAAACCATTCCAGTGGTACTGAGCTACAAGCCGCCGAAAAAATTCCAGCGCACAACAACAGAGAAGACTGCACAGCTCAGAAAAAGCCCCAAACCAAGAAAACCTGCAAGTTAGAGTCTCAGACTCTGTCAGCCCAAAGAGCAGCTTCTCCAAGGCCACACCAGGACAGCAGAACTCTATTGCAGACACAGCTCGGAGGAAGCGCAGCAGAAGTTCAAAACAGCCCTACTGCAACTGTGGTGCACTTATAAAAACTTCATTAATGCTGCAATTAATTTGATGAGTAATACAAAAATGCAAATCTACAAATCTTCCGGTTCAACTAATGAAGACTAATTAAGGGATAAAAAATACTTCATGTAACTCCTAATGAGCTTTTCTAACCTTGCAGTAGTTGATTAACTGTAATTAATCTAAAAAAAATAAAGGTGGCCATTCAGTAAAACTCTTTTTCTTTTCATGGCAGGACCCCCTCTTCCTGCCTTGCACGCAAACTACATGACTAAGCCTGCATACAACTGCTTTTACCCTCATCCTTTCCTGAAGTGGCCAAAGATCTCCACGTGAAGAAAAGGAAGAAAAGGAGCAGGATCTAAAAGGTACAGATAATTAGTATGGCTTTCTTACCAAGAACAGGTTTACATCCGTTATTTACATCAGTTATTCTTGCATAAAACAGTTCCTGACTTCTGCTCACGAACCCCTGATCTGTTCTGTACTCCACCCTAACAGTGTTAAATCGCCTTCGCAACGGATCAGTTGAAGCAAAATTTCTACAGGAGATTAAGAGGGGCGTTAAGAGAGCCCAGCAAAAAAAGTAAGATACAATTTCAGATGTTTACTTCAGTCATGGAGGACTTCAGTACTATACTACACAGCCCCATGCACTCCCATCCGAACTTGCATCTGCAGAGCGCTGCAGACAGCACAAATCCTGATTCCCAGCCAACCAGACAAAAAAGAGATTGTCTCATATCAAAGACAGGACCTGCCCTTCTAAGAGCACGGGCCAGAGAAAGTACTAACAACAGTCACAGCCTTCCCCATTCTGAGTGAACAGAGAGTATTTTATCTAACAGGAGGACAAGGGGACTTACGGGCAGCTGCTGCAATTCTCCTTTCTGAGCTGCTACAAATACTTTCTAGCCACTCATTTCCATAAAGATTCTTAATACTGGCTGTTCTGAGCCACCTAATTAGAAGCTACCTTCTCACTGCTTTAAAATAAACGCGACCAGAAGATCTGCAGGAGACAGAACACATGCTTCCTCCTCATGAGCTCTGGATTCAAGCAGATGTAGTGATGATATGCAAACCGGGACAGAAATCAAAACAGCTAAATTATAGCAACAGTTGCAACTAATAGGGGATTTAAAAGATGAAGGAAAATACTGCTACAATATTGAAAGAAGAGCAAATCAAGGACCACATAGAAAAGGTTCAAATATTCAATGCCTTTTTTTCCTTATGTCTTCACAAAATCATGTTTTACAATGACCACGCTCTTTAATATAATTAATTTGAACTAGGAGCTTGGAATGCAAGCTGAACAGAGAGTTAAAGACTGTTTTGGAAAGAGTAAGTCATTAAGGATTGAATTTATTTTAAAATACTTTAGGTACAAGCTGAAGTCCTCTATAAATCTTTAGCAATTTCTTTAGAGTACTCGCAGGGAATGGCTGAGATCCCAGGGGGTGCGAGAAGGTCAAACACAGAACCTGTTTTCTAAAATGGGAAAAAGGAAGGTTATGCAGTCTAGATTTAGTACTCTGAAGGACCCGGGAACAAATGGTTAAACAACTAAATTATAAGCACCCTGAGGATTATAAAGCAAGAGGAAACTACCAACATGTATTTGTGAAGAACTAATCATGTCAACCCAATCTTTTTTTTTTTTTTAATCAGGATAATTATCTTATCATGGGAAGGCATTAGATATGATGCACTTTGAATAAAACAATGTATCCCACTACCATAGTAAGGTATATCTGTCAGCTTTTTTTTTTTTTTTTTTTAAACAACAGACACTCAAAGAAGAGTTTTCAGCTGTCCCCTTCCAAACTGAGGGAGCACACTAATACATCTCCACAGGTTTCTGCACTTGATCCAGTATTTTCATGAATGACAAGTAATAGGAAGAGGATACCAAGTTTGGAGGAGTTGCAAGTGCTCTGGAGGGCAGGACTAATGTTTCAAGTGATCCTGACGTGCAGAAAAAACGTCTGAAATCATTAATTTAATAAAAAGATATCCCACCTCTTTTGGAAACAAATGCCAAATATAAGACGCGCTTTACTGGGTAGGCAGAAACACAGCAGAGAACACAGACAGAAAAAAACCTACACTTGAGTTAGCAAGGTGTCTGCTGCCAGAGAAACAAGTGTTGTTTTGGGATATATTAACAGATGTTATACACAGGACACGGGAGGTAGTTATTCACATGAGATTTAGAAAACATGACCTAGGAAGAAGGATATTTGTTCATTCTTTAAAAAGAGAGATCTGGAAAAGAGAAGTAACAGCAACCTTCCAACACATAACTGGTTTTAATTAAGAAAACTGCAATCAGTCGTACTTCATGAGCATGAGACATGACTGGCTTAATTCACAGAAAGGAAAATTAAGGACAGTTATTATGAAAAGCTTCCTGAACTACAGAGAGAGTTAATCATTTAAATTTGTTATCTCTAAGGAGGCTGTTGGCGCCCAGCACGGGGAGCCTCTGAAAAGAACTTGAGCCAAACGTCCCTCTCGGAGACGGCTGCGGTGAGGTGCGTTGAACTAGATGACCCCTTAAGGTCCCATCAGACTTGCAATTTAATACTTAATGGCTTCAAAGACAAAGAAATAACATCTTACAGGAATATCACCTCCTCTGAAACAAAATACTGGGTAAAAGAATCATTTAATTTGGCACAACTGACTGCTACTGCTCGGCACAGCTCCAGCTTCAAATAGCCCCTTTTAAATTTATTATTATACACTTGCAAATCAGATCAAATACATATTATTAGCAACTCATGCTCGAGAGCTGGCACAGAATCTGTCCACCAAGGGGCTTTCTCATCCCAATGCTCACAGTTTTACATTTTCCCAAGAATCACACTCAAATGCTTAAAGCCAAAACAGAAAAAACTACCTTGCTATAGCTCTGTTTAGCATCCCTCTATACAAAACACCTCGGGAAGGGGTAGATACATTGTACCTCTCAATGCTGGATCTGGTGCACAATATGTAACTTGCTTGGCGCAAAAGCGCTGAGTTTTGCGAGCCACACATCACTGCGGGAACAGCGGGCTTTGACCGGGGGCTTCGATTTGGCTGCAGCAGTCTGGGATTCGCTCTGCCTATTCTGTATTCATGCTGCAGCATTTAGTATTTTGATACCTGATCTTCACATTCGGTGATATGCTGTATTTCTGTGAGTGTTTCCATGCTCTAAGTTCTTTGAGCTCTTAGGCGCCGATTTAAGCATTGTGAATAAGGCAAACTGCACACCGCGCTCCCTCGGGCGAGCACAGCCAGGAGGTTATCATGGTGAGGCTGCACCTGGGATACCACGTCCAGCGTCGGGCCCCAGCACAAGACTAGAGAAGGAGGAGCAGGCCTAGCCGAGGACAACTGTGGCACTCAGGGTCCTGGGGTATATGACCACCAAGGAGAGAGACCGAGAGAGTTTGGGCTTCGCTATTCTGGCAAAGAGGAGGCTGAAAGGTGGTTGAAGGGCAGCCTACAATTACCTAGAGGGCAGGTAAAAGGATGATGGAGCCAAACTCTTCTTGCTAGAGCCAAATGATACAATGAGGGGAAAGAGCCACAGAACTGCAGCACGGCAGGCACCTCAGAAAAAGGTTTTTTTCCCCAGGAGAGTGGTGCAGCACTGGAAGAGGCTGCCCAGAGAGGCTGCGAGATTTCCATCCTTGGAGGTTTCCACGGCTCAGCTAAATGAAGCTGTGGCTGACCTGAGCTAGTTTTGATGGCAGTCCCACTTTCAAGTGGCAAGTTGGGACTAAATGACCTCCATCCAGAAGTCTCTTCCAAGAAATAGTTCTGTAACTCTATGACCCTATGACTCTAATCAAATAACCTATTTTCTTCGTAGAAACACCTGTTTTTTTTTTTTTTAATTGTAACATACTTTTGGTTTCCTAATGCGGTGTACCCTGTATTGTCTTTTAACATACTTTTGGTTTCCTAATGCGGTGTACCCTGTATTGTCTTTTAACATACTTTTGGTTTCCTAATTCATTCACTATGCATATTCTTACCCATATGGTACTTAATAAGCAGGCTTATTTCAGAACTAAAACAGAATTTTAGATTTCAAATTACTGAAGTAATACACTAAGCTTTGCTGATGTTGAATTTATTTTACCTTTGAATTCTTAAGTGATTTTATTAACTTATTTCTAAAAAACTGAATCACAGTCTGTTAGCAATCTATTTTCTTTCTGTCTCCATGTATATAGCAATATAGCAGATATATATGAAATAACAGGAATAACAAAAGGAATATTGTGCACAATTATAGCTAGTAGCACATAAAATCAGATATTGTTAATAATAAATGACCATATAATATAGAAGAAATACCATCTGAAAACTGATTTTATATGGCATATTAAAGACTTGATGGCTCAGGAGATTGGTAATAGAATAAAAAGCCTTTCATCTCAAGGTCAGCAACTCCAATACAGGTCAGACTGATAGTAAATGAAAGCCATTCAATGAGAATCCTAATGAACCTAGTCTCGTTACTAAAAATTTAAGAATGACAACTGTATTTAGCCCTGTCTCCTGCCTCTGACAGCAGTCAATAGGCAATTCACATGGAGGAGCAGAACCAATTTGGCAGCTTGAGTCGTATTTCCCGTGTTATATGCTGCCAGCCCCGGGCTGTCAGTATTTTAGCAGCTTACTAGCAGGTAGCTGTTTGTTCTGTTCCAAAATACAACACCCTCAGTGCTGCTGTGTCTCTTACTGCTTGGAGGGAAAAAAAACCCGACTCCGGCTTTCAGCTCCCTGCGTGACCCCTTCACGTGATGCATGCGCAACGTTCTGGACGTCTGGCTAAGCCTTTGCAATTTGGTAGATTAATGCGTTACCTTCATTTGATATCTTAAATGTATCGAATAAATTGCTGTATCAAATACCATTATTCTGGCACATATCAAATAAATTCATGTACCAAATTAAGGCACAGCATTGGGAAAGAGAAGAATCCTGGAGTAAACTAGACCAGCCATTCAGCTAACCTCCATCACATTAGCCAGCAAATAAATCAAATCACTTACTGTGTGACTTTATAACCAACCCAAGTCTTCTAAAATAAAGGCCCTAAAATAATTTTCCTTTGCTCCAGTATAACGCCTACATAATTTACTGTTCGCTACAGTATTACATGGTGCAAAGCACTGATAAGAATGCCACTGATGTTCTCCTTTTGTTTGCCTTTTTATGCTCAATCAGATTTTTGTTTAAAAAAAGGCAAAATTTTCAATGATTCTGCAGAAAAGCATCCCAAAATGAATTCTGCTTTCATATTTTCCATAGACAAAGATCAGCGTTTGCACACGCACACTAGCTGTCCAGACACCTCTAAATGTCTGTTGGCAGGTATAAATGGGGAGATGTAAAACTGTCTTCACTGTGGCATACAGTAAAGAGATACTTTTCCCAATAAACTGTATTTGGAATCCATAGATTCCTCCCATATATACACTTAAGAATGGCACTTCCTTTCTGAATTTAGGCAACCAGATAACCTCCAGTGGCCCCTTGCAACTGAAATTAAATTTTAAGAGTCTAAAAATCAGCAACCTTATGACTCACGCAAAATCCATCCTTAGCAGTACCTATGTTCAGGAGAGCCATTCTGCTTTTCAGAAGTGACTGATGGAGTCAATGTAAAGGAATACAGGTGCCTAAAGACGCAGCTGACAACCAGCATGGGCTTACACAGAGTCTGCACAATAAACTCCCTCAGTGCCATTTTCCCCCAGCACAGCACAGATTTTAGGTCCAGGTACCTAGCTACCTTTATAAACCCGGCCCTTACCCAGGGTAGACAGTACAAATCCCCAAACTCTCACGTAGCTGCTGTGTCTGGAGACAGTGTAGGCACCTACGCTTGCACTACTACAGCCCTCTTGGTACCTACGTTACAGTAGCAACCTTGATCACTTACTCCTAAATCCTGATAATCTCAAGGTATTTATAACGCATAACAACTTGGTAGGCTTTTCAGATAAAGTGTGACACTCACTAGTGACGCTCATGTCATCTAGTTTAGCTCTCCTAAAAGGAAACAGGAAGATGACAGATGTCCACTCTCAGTTTTCACGTGCAGGGTTATTGCCATTACAGAGCGATCCCAAGCAGGTTGCACTTCGGGTTGCGTTACTGCCCACAGCCATCGGGAATGCCTTCGTTGTATCTCATATCAAAAATCTGGCCACAATATATATAAATGTGAGCTTTACCCAGAAGCTTTCCTTCAGGGAAGCTCTTTATATGATAGAGGCAGCATAAATTTCTGACCTCTGCTCAGTCCACGACGTGCACCCCTGTTGTGATGCTGCGCAGACGATGGCAATGGGTTACTAATCTCATTTTCCCTTGCAAGTGGTCAGGGTTTGACTCTGGGGGTCAGCTCTGACTACCCAGGGTTAACACAGAAGACTGCTTTGCTTCAGCAAAGAACCAGCTCCTGGCTGGCAATACCTAATGGTTCTACCTACCGCATTTCTGTCTAGAAGACCAACTGTCAAAAGTGCAGAAACATGGATTTAAGTGCATCTTGGAGTGTGAAAGAATCCCGAATCCATCAGTGAAGGTCATTAGCTCATGTGACACACCTCACTGAAGTCAATTTTCAGAGATAAGCGTGTGACAATCTGACTGGAGAAATTTTCCTTTAATGCATTATTAATTCATTTAGTATTACAGTTATTATAATCTTTATGCAGGGCACTGAAGCTCAATTTGTTCTGTATCAGCTAATGTTTTTAATGAGTCCTTTTTTCCCCCCCTCAGGACAGGCACTTCCTTAACCAGCTGTTTGGCTTCTTAAGCAAGCAGCAAATGAAATGACAGTGTATCCTATTTATAAACACAACTTCATTAATCATGCCCTGAATTTTAAATGAAAACAAATGAGTACTAACTTTTAAACTGCCATTCAAATACCTTTTAAAAAGGTAATAGATTCTCAAACTCTAAATATAGAAAGGCTTGTGATCAAACTCTATCTCAGATATAATGCAATGAAATCATAATTGCAATTCCCCCATCTGGTAAAGAGGAGAAATACATTCAAATAAAAAGATCCCGGGTAAATGTACTGATTTGTGGGGCCGATATTGGAGCATATGTTAACTTAAGTTTGAACCCCTATCTGAATGACTTAGGTTCATCCTCTGGTCATGCAATGCAGAAAGGTCACAAGGCCAATCTGTGCAATGAGAAACTAGTTCAGTGCTAGAGAGAACTACACATAAAGTAGAAAAGTAGACGTTAGGAAAGTTGTGAATTGAAAGAAAGAAAATAGAACATTTTCCAAACATACACATTGCTGTTGCACACTCAGCCAAGTGCACAGCTGGCTATAAAGACATCCATTATTTTGCAACTTTTTTGCTCAGAAAGTTGGATATAAACATCTATTCAAGTTCACACTCCAAATTTTACTCCTACACTTCTATTTCTGCCTCTAAATGGAAGAGCCAAGCCTGTGTGATAGCATCATGGAGAATACTGGAGGTTTTCAGAAAAAAAAAAAACACTTTTATACATTTTTGAGGTATGTAAGAAGAAACAAGACAGACTGTCCCACAAAAGGCAGAGTCGGTCTTTATCATCTCTGCTCATGCATACCTAAAAATAGCCAGCTTTCATGAGGTGACCTTTCCAGATGGCCAGTCTTGAAAGGGAGAAAGTTTACAAGCTAACTTACACCCGGACAAAGAAAGCGAGCTTCTCAGTTCAGACCTACTCCTAAAGGGAGAGGAATCAAAACGCCATCAGATTTTATGGAGATCTGGATTCAGATAGCATCTGAATCCTACTGCCTGTTTAACTGCGATCAGTATTTAATTTTCTACTTGAAACAGTCACTGGCTATGAGGAAAAATAAATGTATTAACGGTTACAGCAAAACAGTAAAAAACGTTTTACCAAAAAAGGTTAAACTGCAGTTTGCCTGAATCTTGCTTTATCAGCAACTTTATCGTTGTGAATTTGACACATCACCAAAATATGTAGAATGAAATTCAAAAGCCGATACATAAGAAAGATGTCCTCAGTCCTGTTTCTCTGCATTAGTAAAGACCAGTAAGCAGAACCCCAAAAATCCCAATAATGCTATCTCAAAAGAGAGTTGAGGTGTATAAAATTCCCATTATCTACAAAGCTTTTAGCATTACAGCTCCCATTAATAAAGACTTCAGGAAAGTGCACATTTAAACTCCCTGCATTGGTAGCACAGGCACACCCTTTCCATCGGCCACAAAGAAAAATCAGAACACAAAATTGTAAATTTTAAGTGAACAGAATGAAAATTAAAAGCGTGATTATTTCCTCAGAGCTGGGTCCAGCTATACAGGAAGGGTCCACAGGCACTTAAATTTCATGGTGACAATGGATCCTAGGAAAGCCCAAGACATAAATAACGCTATGGCTTCAAGACCCTCTTTCACTGAACAATGGTTGCTGGCAATGCCACCACTAAGGCCATGCTTTTTCTCTATTTCTTTTCAACGTGCTCCAGGGGTGCTTTAAAGAAAGGCAAGATCCACCACTTCAGCTCTGTCTCCTCAGACGCTTGGAATAATGTGAATGTCATTCACTTGCCGAGATGGCAACCATTACCAGCTATGAGAAAGCAGAATGGAAGATTTTCATCGAAATATGAAGAACAGAATAATTACACCACATTTCCTTACGGGCTGAAGAAGAACCAAATGGATCTGAGCCCCCGCCCCTGCTTTTTTTTTTTAAATGTAAAACCAAAAGCTCTTCCTCAATTAGATAGTACATCAGGATAAAGCCTAGCTTAGTCTCAGCTACATGCATAATGAACGACTGTTTGCCTAATTTTTAAAAAGAGTATCTGAAAAAAGCTATTTTTTTAAAAATATCTTTTTTAATATTAAAAAAAATTTCAGATACAACAAAAGTTGTATCTGAAATTAGAGAGCTTTCAGACTTTGCAAATGTCTGCATACTTCAAGTAATTTAAATCATATAGATTTATTTAAGAATATAATGTACACATGTACAAATATTTACAGGTATACACACGCAGACATGTAAACACGTTTATGCTTTCATAGAACGCACATCGAAGATAGAAAAGGTATAAAATAGGTCTAAAATAATTACAGTGACTATTGTGATTCAGAAATAAAGATGAATAAAATATACATCCAAAATGCAACTACTTATTTAAAAAACATTTCTAACCAGTACATACAGCTGCTTCTTCATCAATGCATGGTCAATTTGTGGTTTTACCTCTGAATCATTCTCCCCACTTTACTGCATCTAGAGGGAAACACAAATTTGTGATTTGAATAAGGGCATGTCAGATGTTGCATTGATCTAAGAAATAATAAAATTATATCCATAAAATTCCTTTGTTTTCATTTTTTTCTCCACAGCACCGAGTTTATCCCTGATCTCATTCTTTATGCCCTCCATCTAACTGGCAAAGGACGCATTTTTCTGTATGTGAATAACAGAAGCAATGTACTCCCCAGAATAGAAAAATGAGCTGAAGTGAGAAGACCTGATTCTAATTCTACCTCTGACACTAACCTGGTCTGTGACCTTGGAATGAGTCACTTTACTTTCCTGCTCTTCTCTTTTCCCTTTCTTTATTTTTCTTGTCTACTTACAAGTCCTCTAAAGTCCGTTAAGTGTTTTGTCTACTTACAAGTCCTCTAAAGTCCGTTAAGTGTTTATATAAAACTGAACAGGTACGACTCAGTTTTCATTGGAATCATTAGATAACACACAAACATAAATAATACATCTTATCAATTATTACGTACACTCTTGCTCTACTATAGTCTGCTAACGTGACGCAAGACTTCAAAACGATTTTTAATAGTAACTCTCATTTAAAATAAAATATAAAAGAAGGCCTGTGAAAGAGAAGTGTATTCAAGAGGAAACAAATTCCTTACATGTTTCTTTTATTTTTTTCCTAATAACATTCCCCCACTTCAAGCACCTTGCTAAAGAGCTACATTTCTGTATCCATCTCTTGCATAGGTGGGCACGGTAAACCTCTCCTACGGAAGTGCTGCCTTGCTATTTACCCCCAGCTGGCACGCTGCGCACCACGGGCTGCGCTCCCCGTTTCAATTGCTGCTCTGTACTCGCAGGATGCTCTGCGATGTGCCCAAGCAAGCAAAGAAGGAACAGGAAGACTTTGGACTTTTAAGACCGCTTTTCTTGCTCTCCCAAAAGGGAACAACATACACACGCAGTACAAATTCCAGGCCATATCCCTATGTGATAAAGGAGCAAAAGAAGCAGTCCTCCCTTTTTTCCTCCCTCCTGTGTGGGTCACCTCTAAGAGTGATTTACTTTCAAGACCCTCTGCATGAATGCAAGATATTCAGTGAGATGTCTTAAGGGAAAAGAAGTGATAAAGAGAAATTCAGCTAACCTATTTTCTTGCTTGTCACTACTTGATAATCTCTTTATCTGTTCTCATTTCACCAGTTGCCGACAGACTTATTTCCCTGTAGACAGACCCAATCCCCTCTTCCAAAGCGCACACACGTGCACGTTCACCTCCTTCGCGCAACATCTCAAAATTTGTATCTTAATGTCTCTTACCTATTCTGGTATAGATACCTCAATTTAGCATACTTAGATATACATGTCTACGCTTACTGTTACACACACCTCTTTAGTCTTTCATCCAGTTTCTGTGGTTATGGGCGCATTTATGTAAACCTCCCTTTCAAAAGCGTCCAGTTTCACTGAGACACAATGCACTAGCACATACATTATAAAGTACAATCCCTTTGTCAATAAATTATGATTTCTGATGTCCACAAAAAACATTTTCTAAAGCTCTGCAGTGATTTAGGAACCTGAATTTCAGCTGCACCTTAATCCTTCTTGACTTCTGTAGAGGCTTTAGCTTAGAAGTGTTTACTTTCAATGGGGCAATATGACTCCGCCTTTTACTTTGTGATGGTAAAGAGAGTATAATGTAACTGGAATTTGTAATGCCAGATGTAAACGGCCTGACGTACGGTTTGTGCCAGCTGGGTAAAACCCAACAAAGCTAGTCGAGGGACTGCGAGACCTGCCGCAGCCAGAAGCCGTGGCAAACCCAAACCCAGTCCCCCAATCACCACGACTCTAGCCTAACTTGGAAAAGCAGAGCGGAAATCCCTGTGCCCCTCAAACTACCCAGCCAAGAAAGAGAATAAAACAAAGGCTAATTGCAGTTTATCACATGACTGGATTTAGAGATTTCCAGACAAGTGTTGCTGGTATTACATAAGGTCCAGACTTCCTGACATTACATATTGCCCAGCTATCTCTATGTTAAGCCAAAGCACATTGATTAAACATCTCAAAAAAAAAAAAAAAAAAAAAAAAACCAAACACTTTTTATTTGGATACATGGAAAAGGAGAAAATTCACCATTATTTTAATCAAGGATACTGAGGGAAGAGGGAATTATGACCCTTCCTCCTTAATCTAACTCAAAAATCACAGAAAAGGACAGTAACACAAGTGCCTTATAGCTGAATTCATTTTAATCAGCCGTCTCCTATCTTCACCAGCTGTTTGCCTGCTTCTTCCATTTATGTCGTGCAGCTTGGACTTATCGATCCGGTAAGCTTTAAATTGCAGCTATCCATGAAAAAAAGCACAGAGACACACCGCAGCAGGAGAGAGCAGAGCTGATAACGGCGTGCTGAAAGGCTACTTGCTTTTGCTACAAGAAAATCTTAAGAGAACTTCCTGGAGAGAAGGTCTGGAGGACGGAAGTTATCAGCACGCTGTAGGCACATAGGAAGGGTAAACAGAGCTTACAGAATGAAGGAAAGGATTTATATCACAAATGGTTCCAGTGAAAAGTACAGGAAAACTTAGGAAGAAGGACGATACAACTTGGACTGCCTCGCTAAGCGTTTTGTATCATGTTCGTAAGTGTCACCTAAATGACAGTGGTTCTTGTTGTTTCAGGTATAGTACAAGCCTACCGTAAGAACTCACCACTTCCCAGAAACACTAAAAAATGCTTAGCATTAAAAGGAGGGCAGTATCAGCAGAGTTCATTTCAGTGCAGCCCACCTAGTGCAGCTTCAACCCAAAGCCTACTAAAAGGTATCACTTGTGGCTTTCCTCAGTGAGCTATCAGGACTGCCCTGCTGAAGGCATTAAATAATAAATCTGCACAGTCCACCTCACCCACAAATCCAATGCTCTATGATATGCAGTGATGCTGCACTTCCCTAGGGAAGCGATCCAAGTTCCTGGCAATATATATCGTCTGGTGAAGGGAATCAATCATTTTGCTTGAGCATGTTCTGTAACGTGAAAGAAGAATTACGGCTCCGTGGTCTACCTCGGAGACCTTCCAGCCTGGCATAACGGTCTCCGCAGGAACTCACTGCCGTTCCTCCCCTGCCCAATGGCTATGCAGCAGGCGCAGGCGGCTCATTTCCTTCACTTAGACAAATGGTAATCTATCTAACGAAAGCTACTTTAGTTTAAAAGTCAGCCAGAAGGTTTATTTCACAATGGGCTAAGGAAAATATTTTGTGACACTGTGCTCTGTGCTTACGGTTTCCTAATG